ATTATTAAGGCTAACACTAATCTTGTAGGCTACTTAGTAGGCAAAAATAAGATAAAATTCAGACAAAGAAAACAACATGACCTTGAATATAATCCGAGGAACAAACAAATTCATCACTTAAACTCATTCAAAAAACAACAGTGACAATTAAATACAATAACCATTTTGACATGGAGATACAGAGAACTCGAATAGATTACTACCAAAAAAATAGAAATTTATAAGGCGAGTGTATTACATTACCTCTTGTAGAGCAGCGAATCCGGGACAAACGAGCTCACTAACCTTTCACCACTGACAAGGGATTCCGACGAGGATAGTGAATAAAGCGAGACTAAATGAAACTCGAAATTCTTTTGGAATCAATATGCGATAAACTCCAGAAGATCCGACGGAAGTTTTCGAAAGATAGAAAATCTAGAAAAATTCGTCGCTACTGCATCTGGTTTCTTCCCTTTTTATGGTATTTTTTGTCAAATAGGACTGACCGACTTGGGGGGAAAACGGGAGGGATTAGGAATTCAAAATTCGATTTTTTCTTGTATAGAAAACGAGAGCCCTTGATCGAGGTGTAAGATTGCGATTCTCCAACGTCCTGTATGAAAGGATAAGTGAGGTCACGCGATTTTGGGTCGCGTCTGGTTCACTGCTCTGCTTCTGGGTTCGTCATGAAGAAGACGCGTCGTGCAGGTCGCGTACAGTATGCTGTTGCTGTTGTACGCTCGGTTCTTTTCTGGGAATGGGCTGCTGGGTCGGGTTTTTTAGGATAGGGCTGCTGATGTAAATAATAATTGGGCCTGGGAACTTGAAAAATATTGGGCTGAAATAATTATTGGTTATCCTAGATTTTTAATAGGAAAATAGTCACATGATTTGCAAGGGGAAACATACATAAATATACTATGGGAATTAAGAAGTTAGTCAAATTGAGTTTAATTTAAGGAATTCCACTAAAATATAAGCAAGACGAATTAATATTAATTAATTAACGAACTTCTTAATCTTAACGAAATAACATAATTAACTTATTTATTCAAAAATATAATGTACTTAGTAACTAGTACTAATTTAATAAAAAAATATTCTAAGACGATTTTTGAATATTCATTTTATGAGCTAATATACACGAAAAATCAAATTTATGAATTTTTTTTTAGTTTTATGCCTTTTTTTTATAAAAAATGTTCATTCTTACACAAATGAATTCATTTTAACACATAAGATCGAGATAGAGATTTGAAAAGATTATTTTCTTCTATTCAATTTATAAGTGGTCATAGGAGATCATTTCCACGCAAAAAGACATGTTACCTGTAGGCACAACTCTGAACTCAATAACGATAAAACTTTTAATTGAGATTAAGAGTATCATTGACAAAGATAGCGTGGCTACATAGTAAGGTAAAAATCATATTAAAAATTGAAAACTCTCAAAGGAAATGACACTAAATTCCTTTCAACTTCTTTCCATAGGAACATACAACAACCAACCAACATCAAGGAGCTGTGGTCGTTGTCCCAAATAAGGATTTAGCTTTTCTATATCACCAACTTTAGATGAAAGAAGATCTACAATACTTGATAAACTATCAAATTCTTGTACTGTATAAGTAACAATAGGCTTAGAATCATCCTTTTCTCCACATCCACACACGAGATGGAAGGTTACTTCATCTCCAACTAGATAACTTTTCTCTTCTCCTCCAACTTTCCAAGCTTCCCCACTATAAATTTGTCGCGATACATTAGGAAATGTATCGCCAGGCTGCAACGTGTACAATGTATCGTAGAAGTATCCGATGGTACCATTAACATTTTTGCAAGTACAAGGGACTGTGACTAGATAGTCTTGTTTCCCTCGCGAGTGACTAATTGGCTCTATTTGTGACTTGGTGACAGAGTAAAATGCCGTGATTTGGTCTTTGTTGAGACCATTGTGGTGGTAAAGTAGAGAGCTACACGTCTTGATTTGATTCGAGCAAGGAAAATAGTATATTTTGAGACAATTGAGTTGGAACGCCAAATACAAAGTTTCTTAATGATGAAAAGACTCGAGGAAAGAGTAGTAGAACTAGTAAATAGTAATGCATACCTAGAAGACATAGTTATTGCTTCATGTCTTCCTTGTGAGATTATGAACAATAAGAAGAGGAATGTGTTTGATTTATGACTTTCTCCTAGTGCCGGCAAAATGAGCCCATATTTTAGTAACCCACCCAATCCGTCCATATTTTAATGGGTTGGGTGAGTGATTTTTCATATGGATAAAATATGGGTAAACTATGGGTAAAATATGGGTAACGTATGGATTAGTCAAATGGGTTAAGCATCCAACTTTTATTCACTCAAAATTCATGATATCACTAAAATTATTGTAACTTCTCTTCCTTTTTATGTCTTCTATAAAACTTATTATTCTTCTCTATAATTGAAAAGATGAAGTCTTTGGCCCTCCAAAAAATATATATTTTAAATGTACATTTCTTTTGTTAATTATAATTATATTTTTTTATTTGTTTAATTTTATATTGGATAACAAATAATAGTGTAAAATAAGATAATCATGTATTAGTATTGACATTGCTTACGGTGCATTAAGCATGTTTTAGTCATAAAATGTAAATATTCATTTACTTTGAAATTAAAAATATTTTCCCCTTGTTATTACATAAATTTATTTTATATTGAAAAATTATAGATTTTTTTAAAAACTTTTATGATACAATATAACTAAATAAAGTAGTTTAAACAATTTTCATCTAAAAAAAGACTCAAATACTTTCTTCATGTTGAATTATTAAGTAGAGTACTATTTACTCATGAAAATATGGGTAAATATGGGTAAACTAGTATTTTACCCAACCCAATATGAGTGGGTTAAATTATTACCCATTTTATGATAACTCATTTTCAACCCGAGGACCTACCCCCCTCCCCTGCCTGAGGGCACCGTGCCTCGAGACCCTACCCCCCTCCCCCCACCCCAGGACGTCGTGCCTCGAGGCCCTACCCCCCTCCCCCTCCCCAAGGCATCGTGCCCCCTACCCCCCCCTCACCCTCACTAGGGCGCCGTGCCCTGCGGCCCTACGGCCCTACCCCCCCCCCCCTCCCCCTGCCTCAGGGACCGTGCCCCAAGACCCAAATTTGGTCTTTGGTCTAAAAGTTTGCGTTTAAAGTGAGGCAACAAAATAGTTAGATTTACAATTAGATTTCAAATTAGAACATGGCCAGTTGGCCACATGACTTTCAATTATGGTCAATTCTAATTAAGAACGTAATCAATTTAGTAAATTTGGCTAGGATTTAAATAGCAAGCTTCTTAATTTTAACGAAATAACATAATTAACTTATTTATTCAAAAATATAATGTACTTAGTAACTAGTACTAATTTAATAAAAAAATATTCTAAGACGATTTTTGAATATTCATTTTATGAGCTAATATACACGAAAAATCAAATTTATGAATTTTTTTTTAGTTTTATGCCTTTTTTTTATAAAAATGTTCATTCTTACACAAATGAATTCATTTTAACACATAAGATCGAGATAGAGATTTGAAAAGATTATTTTCTTCTATTCAATTTATAAGTGGTCATAGGAGATCATTTCCACGCAAAAAGACATGTTACCTGTAGGCACAACTCTGAACTCAATAACGATAAAACTTTTAATTGAGATTAAGAGTATCATTGACAAAGATAGCGTGGCTACATAGTAAGGTAAAAATCATATTAAAAATTGAAAACTCTCAAAGGAAATGACACTAAATTCCTTTCAACTTCTTTCCATAGGGACATACAACAACCAACCAACATCAAGGAGCTGTGGTCGTTGTCCCAAATAAGGATTTAGCTTTTCTATATCACCAACTTTAGATGAAAGAAGATCTACAATACTTGATAAACTATCAAATTCTTGTACTGTATAAGTAACAATAGGCTTAGAATCATCCTTTTCTCCACATCCACACACGAGATGGAAGGTTACTTCATCTCCAACTAGATAACTTTTCTCTTCTCCTCCAACTTTCCAAGCTTCCCCACTATAAATTTGTCGCGATACATTAGGAAATGTATCGCCAGGCTGCAACGTGTACAATGTATCGTAGAAGTATCCGATGGTACCATTAACATTTTTGCAAGTACAAGGGACTGTGACTAGATAGTCTTGTTTCCCTCGCGAGTGACCAATTGGCTCTATTTGTGACTTGGTGACAGAGTAAAATGTCGCGATTTGGTCTTTGTTGAGACCATTGTTCTGGTAAAGTAGAGAGCTACACGTCTTGATTTGATTCGAGCAAGGAAAAGGGTGTATTTGAGACAATTGAGCTGGAACGCCAAATACAAAGTTTCTTAACGATGAAAAGAATTGAGGAAAGAGTAAAACTAGTAGAACTAGTAATGCATACTTAGAAGACATAGCTATTGCTTTAATGTATTTCTTGTGAGATTATGAAGAATAAGAAGTTATATATATATATGTATTAGAAGAGCAATGTGTTTGATTTTTCTAATGCAACAAGATTTGTTTTTATAAAAATTTTGGCTGCATTATGCAGGCTAACATAACCTATAAGCATCAAAATTAACGCAACCACATACAAGAAGTTATATCACTTGTGTTGGACATAAACCCACAACAAAAATAATATTTAGTGGTAATAACTCGGAATAATAATATATCACTAAAATACGATGATGATAAAAGAGCGATACTAAGATTCTTATTTGTTTCTTCTTTTTTTCTTTTTATTGTTCTCCTAGCAACTAGGGAAATGAGAAAAGAAAAAAGAAACATAAATTAAAGTTGTTAGATATGTCAGGAAGGACCCCCCTTGTTTTGAGGGTTGACAAGATTATTAGTCCAACCAAAATGAAAATAACTACCTAAAGATTTTTAAGGTTTACAGGCTATTAACAATGATAGCCTCAAGTTATTCCCAGTCAAAGTTTAATAAGTTTATAAATGGGAAATATTGAATATCAATGAACAACATTAATGCTATTAGAAAGATGGCAGCGAAGGCGAGGATTTTCGCTGGTCTTTTTCTTATTTGCATTGTCCTCCCTTTGCTGGCCTCAGCATTTGTAGATCATCTACCTGAAGTTGGCCAAGTAAACGAGTCCGATAACAATGATGTACCGATCCATGTTAGTACTGTCGCTCACTTCAGCGAAAAGCAAGTTAAGGAGGCATTGATAAGAAGGGCAAAGGCAGTGCATGATCTGTGGGCAAATTTTCGTTATAATGATAAGAAAGCTGCACCCGAAGAAGATGTTGCACCTGTAACTCCAACGCCTGTTGATCCAACACCTACACCTACACCTGTGCCTGTTAACCCTGTTCCAATTGATCCAACACCTGTGCCTGTTAACCCTGTTCCAGTTGATCCAACACCTAATCCTGTGCCTGCTAACAATGTGCCTGCAGGATATCCGGGAGCAACTCAAGGGCCGCCTGTGGCGATGGGATATGGGGGTGCACCTATAACACAAAATCCATCAGACCAACAAACTGTGCCTGAACAGCCAGGTGCTGCTCAGAACCATCCAACACCGGAAGAAATTAAGGAGAATCGCAAACATGCTGGATTACAAGTGGGATTTTACGATTACACTTGCCCGAATGCTGAGAAGATTATTAAGGATGGAATGACCAGAGCTTTTGGGAATGATTCCAGCATGGCTGCTCCAATTCCACGTCTTCTGTTCCATGATTGCTTTGTCAATGTAAGTTTTCAGTCTTTACCTCACTGTGCAGATTCTACAATGTATACCTCTGAAATAGGTTTTGCTATGCTTTCTTGACAATGACAACCAAAAGAAACCTTAAAAGTTTAATGAAAATTCATTTATCTAATGTACAGGGATGTGATGCGTCTCTATTCTTAGACAAGACACCAAGTGGTGCAAGGGTAGAGAAACTCGCCCCCTCCAATGGTGCAACAGTTAGGGGATTTGAACTCATAGACGAGATCAAGGCTGAGCTTGAGGCAGAATGTCCTGGCATAGTCTCATGCTCTGATCTTTTGGTATACTTGTCAAGGGATGCCTTTGTTGTATCAGGTGTCCCTTACTACGATGTGCCTGGTGGACGTCGTGATGGAATGGAATCCCTTGAAGCAAATGTTCTTGGAAACCTCCCACTTCCTGATAGTACAGTGGACAAGATGATTGACCTGTTTAAAAAGAAAGGTCTGAATGAAGAGGATTTGGTTGTCCTAATTGGTGCCCACTCCATTGGAGTAGCCCATTGTTTCAGCTTCCGTTACAGAGTGGATGATCCAGTGAAGGCTACTATGGTAGATCCAAGACTCGCTGGAGTTATGAAATTCACATGTACCAGCCCAATGAGTACTCTGGCTTTTGATACCACCACACAGTACAAGATGGACTCCATTTACTACAAACAGCTGTCGGGGAAGAGAGCATTGCTTGAATCTGATGGACTTTTGAATGAAGATCCCAGAACAAAGGACTTTATCCAGAAGTTTGGTGACGATGAAAAGGGATGGTTCACTAAGTTGGGTAAGGCCATGAACAAGTTGGCTTCAATACAAGTGCTCACGGGAGACCAGGGGCAGATCAGGAAACAATGCCGGTTTGTCAACTAAAAACTGGATATAAGTCTCTAACATGCATCAAAATTGAATTGGTTCTTCACTTCATTTTCCCCCCTAAATTTTCCATGTTTTACTTAGAAGCTCATAGGACCAATTTAACAAACATACAGACGGTGCATGAGGGGTGTAGGTTGCTCATCTGCAACAAATTAAACACTATGTACAAAGCAATTTTTTGTCTGAAATTAAATCATAATTTTGAACTTTTCCATCTTACTCGAGATAGCTAATCTAATTGCTTCAAACCAACAATTCACAGGAAAAAATGTCCAGTACAAGTTACAACTGTAAGCTTGTTTTGATGTAGTTTATAAGTAAATTGCAAAAGAGAATGAAAAGAACTCCCATGTTTCAAAAATTAAGAGGAAACCAAGCTATGCTTTGTGTGTGTATATATATATATATATATATATATGTCAGCCTCTTGGTGCAGCTACAGTACTGTATTATCTCCCAATTCATGGATGACTTTCTCAATTTTGACCAGCATATCTGTCAATATCAGGAATTCTGCCAATTAGTACTCTAAACCAGTCAAATCAGATCTGCATATGGCTGCTTTATTCAACTGCGAGTGATCATATTTACAACTCGTGTAGATATTACTTAAGCAACAATTTTGACCATGGTTCGATGATCACTTCAAGAACAATGCCTTTAAGGCTTTCCCATCCAGTAAAAGGAAAAAGTAGTTAAATAAAAAGAAGAATGAAATATCAGATGATGGGCAAGTTCCACCGACCAAAACCTGGAAAAGGGCCTCAAGTATTTGAAGACATACCTTGGAATGAAGAATCTTCAAGATATTTCTGCAAGAATTAAGCAGGTGGATCATACATTGGAACATAGGTAGCTCTAAAAGTTGGAGCCATCCAGCCATTTAAAATTTTCAGAAAGCAGAACTTTAGCTGATCTTTATACAAGATCTAAACAGAAATCATACCGCAATTTGGTCTTTGAGGTCAACCTCCTTCGTCATACTTGACTGTGCAGCAACTGTGTCCAGTTAACAATTATTAATGGTGTTAGTTTTGAATCAGAAAGTAGAGAACGTCGTGACAAGTTGACCGATGTGAACCACCTTTATCAATTTCAGGGCAGCAGTTCGTCAAGAAGGAGGTGAAACTGGGAGGAAAAGCTGAAAGAATCTCGTCAACTTCACGACTTAGTTTCATTCCCTCTTTATGTGAATCTTGAGAAAATTCAGGTGCCAAGGTCAGTGGCATGTAATGGGGAGTAGAGTCACCGGAAGCTGCACATATCCATCCTTCGTTGTCCCTGAGAAAATCACACCTTCAGTAAATCATACATTAATAGCTTAATATGGTAAACTCTACATATCTTGAGATGGGAGTATGTGTTAAAACAACTGTGGTATATGTCACCTGTGTGAAGCTCCATCCAAAGGATTAAACTCAGATTGGGAAGATATTGCTGAATCAAATTCAGCACATGGAAGAGGTTGAGGATTTGCATTGTCCAACTTTCCCTAAGAATGTCACATACGAAAACCATAGGAAGGAAGAAAGTTGTAAATTATTTAGGAAACAAAACTCACTACCTGAGAGAAACTCATAGAGCACATCATAGAGATTTAAGTACCTTTAAAACATTCATGAAATTCTCTATCTCATCGATTGTCAAAAACCGCAGGATGAATTTCTGAATCTGCAAAAACAAAAGGACAATTGAAGTCCAACATTATTGGTTTTATGCATAGAACCTTGCATATAACTCACTTTATAAGGATTAGGAAATGAGGAGACTCTGACAATCAACTTATCCATTTCGAATTGTCCAGTATGACAAAGCTTCGATAGAATAATATCCTAACTTTGCAAGTTAAAACATGCATTACAACTATGAAGCTTGAGTGAACAATTCAATGCCTGTAACATTTACATGAACTGAACTTCTCAGGCTATGCGCTTTCTGAAGAACTGTCTATTATCTTAAGTACCAGATGGTACAGATCTTGGATAAAATGCATTACTTAAGTTACAGAGCCCAGATCTGAGATGGTTCAAATTCTTTAAGCAAAGGATATCACCACTCTCATGTCAAGTTATGCACCTAAAGAGACTTGTTGAGGACAATTATCTTACTAGAATAACTAATAGACATGGTAAACTAGCTAATTCAAGTTTCTTCCATGCAATATTTCACAACTATTTGCCTTTCTCCTTTTCTTATTATAACTTCAGCTATTGTTCACCTCACCTCCATTAAGGTTTACATCTCTTGAGCTACTTCCGTTTTAATCCACTTCTTAATCTCGTTATTTCTCTAGTGTAGTTTTCCTAGAAAGAAGATGTTTTAGCTGAAAAGAATAGGGGTTTAAAGAAAGCTTGAGGTATAATTAACTATGACTTAAAAAAAAAAAAAATGCTCACCTGGCCAACAGAATCCCTATAGCTCACGAGGATGGCTCTGCTTCCTCTTGCTGGATAACCTGATACACATGATACCTGAGGCCATGAGAACATCAACCGTGAAATGTAATGCTCTTCCTGTGAGAAGTAAACAATGAAACCAGAAAAAAGTCAGAAGCATGGGATTTCTCTTTTAGCTTCTCATGCAGAAACTGTCACATCATCTAAGAGTTATGAACCACAGCAAGTAACATCCATTGCTTGTAGAACTGTAAGACGGCTATGCAAAAACAGAACTGATAATGTAAAAGAATAATGTTTGTGGTCGGCATGAAAAAACTCTTCGAGCTGTGTAAGACAAGTTTATCTCACAAACAATGCATAACAACTGTGCCACATCTTATGCTACCAAACAGAGAATCAGTACACCAAGAATACATTAGGCCTCTAGTATTCAAGAAAAACCAGCATTGGCCCTCCTGCAACAGTTTCAACAATGCACTTAAACCTATTCATGATTGCTTCTGCATTTCTCTGTGCCCGGTGATATTTTTACGATCAGCAATATAACTTTCCCTCCTGGGAAAAGAAAGCAACATTAATTTGCCTAACATAGCAAGAAGAAATTGTTTGGTTCAAGGAATGGCGGTGATTATTTTGCCAATTTTAAACAAACCCAGAACACAACTTTTGCATTTAACAGAAACAATACCAGTTCTCCAACACAGTAAAAGTGAGATCACTTAGTGTTAACAAGTTCATGCAAAAATTAATCGACTCTACAATTTAAAGGTACATTAAGTTAGAAAAAAAACAACTACATCATAAATTTCACGATGGTAATAACATCGGAACTCGAAAATTATGCACGTTTATTTTCAAATTCAACTAGATCCTTCAGAAATTCAGCAAACAGATGCATCCATCCTAATAACAAGGAGAAACAGCGGGAAAGCAGCTGATGCTCAGAGTGACTCTGTGAACGAGAACGAACACATGGAAGAAACCGCGAGAAGAGATAAATCAAATCTTAAGATCTACTTATCAACAAATTCAAACTAAAATTAACTACTAATAGTACTATATAATGGAATGTTTTCACCAAATTAAAAGAAATTGCATCATAAGTTCACAATCAGGTGACAACTAACATTCAAATTCAGAAGTTATGCATTTTCATTTTCGATCTCAACTTCATCCTTAGAGCAACTGAGCAAACAAATTTTATCAATCAAAAAAGGAAACACGAAAACAAAACTAAATTAGTTGTATCGCCTACAAGGACTATAAATTTACTATAAATTCAAAGCAACATCAAATTAAAACAAAATTTTAGATAAAAAAATTCACAAACAATGGAAAATAAGTTCGAAATTGTACGTTTTCTAATTCACTTCATCCTTTAGAAACTCAGTCGACAAATATATCAATCAATTAGGAGAAATAGTAACAGAATTGAAAGTGCTCACAAGGATTCTGTCACAGAGAGAGACGACGAGGATGAAACCGCCATTAGGATCAAAGCTGTTAGTGCGGAGTTTGAGAGAAACGATGGAGGCAGAGGAGATCCATTTGCCGCGTTTACAGTACTTCCGTCCGATGGAAGAAAGAGAGATGAGAGACGAATGAGAGGAGTGAGGAGAAGCTGGACAGACAATGAACCGAGCATACTGAACTTCCCAGTGGTTGGTTACGGTAGCGATTGACATTGAAGAAGGCAGCGCCGCCTGCTCTGCCGCCGTAATCGGTGACCGTGAATGTGATCCCGCCATTTTTCAAAATTTTAGTTTGGAGTTCTTAGTTGTTTGCGGCATATACTAGCTTAGATCATGCTGAAAGCAACACTTATATACAGCTAGTAAAGTACCTAATTCTGTTAGGGGTCGATTTGGTACAAAATTTGGAATTCACTTTATTTTATATTTAGTGAGAAATATTAGCTAATTTCAAAAATATATTTTATAAAATATCCTTAATCAATCTCACAGGAGTATATTACTTAGAAATTATAGAAAGAAAATATAAAGGTGCAACATTTTAAAGATATTAAAATCATAAAGAAATGTACTACTTAGAGCTTAGAAGGCCTTAAAAATGTGATATTTCTATGGTAATAATCATGCAATTCAATAACTTTATCAGTTAAAAATCAAAATACCAAATATATTTATACAAAATACTTATTTTATATTTGGTTCATTTTATATAAAGATTCAAGGAATTCTTCCTTTTCGGGTTCACTCGGAGAGTGTTATAGGTAACACTTAAAAAAATAACGGGAAAGTTAGAATGGGAATTACACAACAAGGTAAATATGTGATTAATGCTTATGATAAACCACTATAGTTTAAAATATTAGTACAATTAATAGCTATATGTAAGGTTTTACAGTAAATTTTATCTCTCCTCTCTCCTCTCTCCTCTCTCCTCTCTCCTCTCTCCCGCTCTCCCGCTCTCCCTTGCCTCTCTCTTCCCACTGTCCTCTCTCTCCCAGCCCAAACAACCGCAACCTAAAAAACATTCCACATAATATGACAATTTTTATTTTGCCAATTGTATTCGTCAATATAAATTGTGTTCATTAATACAATTGACACAATTATATTCAATGTATGATACAAATCAATTATATTCCGACAATTATATTTATATGTCGTATCAACCATATTTGTATTTTGTATCAATTGAATTCATGATATATTGAATACAACATGCATTCATCCTCTCTCGTCCTCGCTCGCCTCTCTCTTCCCTCTTTCAATCTCGCTCACCTCTCTCCTCCTAATGTGTAGCTAAATACAATACTTAATTTTTTTATACAAT